GGTCCCCAGGTCTGCGCCGGGGGGCAGGGGGAAATGGGTCGATTTAACAGGTTGCGATGGGCGTGTGGTGCGCGGCTTTCTCGGCACCCTCATTTTTGGCGTTGAGGCAGTCAAGAGCAGGCTTTTTATTAGCGATTTAGCACTGCTGCTATTGCCGATATCGGCTTCTTATGCTATAAAACGCTTCCTAGGAAGCTGCCTCTTCAGCTGGGTGTCTAATAACTCTCGGGTATCCGACTGCTGCCAAAAATGCCGGGACATATAGTTGTTTATCTCCAGCTCCACGCGGGCTTTAAGGTGGTTCATACACGTAAGGAAATACCCAAACTTTTCCTCCCGTTAACGGGAGGAAAGGAGAACATAAAATAGCTTTGGGCAGCCTTTTGGCTCTAAAGGCAGTTTAATCTCGCCAAAGTGCTATTTTCTTATTGGGCCAATGACCCTAGCTTTAAATCACCTTATTCATAAAGTTTTCAGAGGGCTGACACTTCCATGTGCCAACTTTAAACTCTCTTTTTCATATGTAAGTTATGCATAATGGGACGGTATTCAGTTTTATTATTTTCTGAATGCATTGTCTGAATCTGCTGAGAGGTTCTTTTATCCTTTTGATTTAATGGGTACAGGATTCCTTGTAATTTTACAAATATAAATCAGATTATAGAGTTAAATAATTTTGAAGGAACTACCTAAAGGGAGACATTGGAATTCAAGCTGTTGGTAGGTTTGCAAAGCGATACTTAGAAGTCCAAGAAGGAATGAGTAATTGATTGGTTATTTTAGGTCTTTTGCTGCGATTTGGGTTTGTTGTTTGTGTGGTTTTTTTCCTGCAGGGCATATGACATTTGCAAAAATCTGTACTGTTCGGTTAAGTACACCGTATCCTTCAAGGATCGTGCTGTAATAATCAAGCAATATTGTTAGATACTCTTTTTTTTTCTTTTCTTCCTACACTCTGTGTCCCTTGAATAATTGCGGTGTTCCACAACACAAAGGCCTTGTATCTTTGTGCATAGAAAGTGGTTCAACGGGATGAAACGACTAATTTGTTGTGAATAAAAGAAAAAGAAATCAAATGGCAAACAACTGAAACATGAACCATGCTTAGCTGCATTTTTCCATAGCAGTACTTCATAAGTAGGCAAGTTTCAAAATACAGTTTTTGTATTTGTACAAAACAGTCTGTGCTCAGGGCACTCTTATTTTCCATTTTTGAAAATATGCTTAATTATAGGTGTACTCCCTGAAGCCAATGAAAAGATTTCCACAGACTTGCCTGACCTGCAAGGATTAATTCTAGCAACTTTTCCATCACGTTATTCCTTCATGTAAACACAAGTTTCTGATGTTGTTGGGGTATGCGCTTGTCGGCTTGCAGGAGATGAGTCAGTAGAGGACCTCTCTGGACTTAGGGGCTTGTTCCATCCTTCTCCTATAAGGAGAAAGGCTCGGTTTAGGCTTAGTATGAACATTTGTGAAATCTGTGTTGTATTTTTTGGAATGTGGCTGGAAAGGCACTCTGAGTTTCACGTAGCCTGTCATGTTTTTACATGCTGTATTTTAATACCCCATTATGGAGCTGTAATTTTAAAGAGATAGCATAGAAATGTTTGAGACTAAAAATCCTGTACTATAATTTATATACGCTTTGTTTGTTGTTTTTAGATTGGAATGGGCAGAAATTACAGTTTTTTCTCTACCTGGATCTAGCAGCACCTTTTGATTGAAACTTTCATAGCTAGTCAAGTCTGAAGTGTTAAAGATTACTGATGACAAGGTTACAGTGATTTGATTTTTGTAATGTGCAGGTATCTCCTAAGCTCTGAGAATGTTGGGTATATATAACATTGTGCATTTGTGTCTTTACATACAGGCAAAGAACAGTTCTGCAGCATCTGAGGATGGATAAAGACTTCCGCTACTACTTCCAGCACCCGTGGTCTCGCTTAGTCGTGGCTTACTTAGTGATCTTCTTTAACTTCTTAATATTTGCTGAGGACCCAGTATCTCACAGTCAGACTGAAGCCAATGTTATTGTTGTTGGTAATTGTTTCTCCTTTGTAACAAATAAATACCCTGAAGGAGGAGGCTGGAGATTTTTGAAGGTGTTTCTGTGGCTGCTTGCCATTCTCACAGGACTGATAGCTGGGAAATTTCTCTTCCATCAGCGCCTGTTTGGTAAGTTACGTGATGCACCTACTGACTTCCTGATAATGGCTTTCTGACTTCTCCTTTTAGCTTTCTACTGAGTGCAATTTTGTAAGCTTTGCTATTAATCGCTTCAACTGTTTAGAGCTGTGTAGAACTCAGTACATCAAAGCTTACGTCGTCGTGGAAATTAATGTCTTGTCTACTTATGTCTACAATGATTTCAGTCAAAAAAGGCTAAAAATAGTAAAAGCTGACATGTTTGAAATACTTGAGAGGTCAGTGATTTTCAATATTATAAAAATACTCCCTTGCATCTTCAGACCAATTTTTAAATCTTATTATATAATTTTCTCAGCAATTTGCAGAAAAGGCATTGTTCCTTGGGGCGGCGACACTACGTGTCTTGTCAAAAGTAAGTGGAAGCACAGGCTGTTGTTAGTATTAGCAGAGCTGTGCTGAAGAGCTCCCACGTGAAAACAGGAATTCTAGAGAAGCAGGACCTGTCTGTCTCAGTACAGGAGCGAGTCAGCAAAATGGAAAGGTAGGAGATGGTCAAAAAAAAGGACAGTAAATGCTTTCGTACACAAGATGTGATTAAAACGGGGAACTTACTGCGTGTGGACTGACTGAAAGGAATGGAATGACCCTGGATTAAATTGACACTGAGAACTTAGATGTAAATATATAGACATATAAAAGTATGTATTGTTGTCTTAACTGTGTTGTAGAAAATGTTGCATCTGAGGGCTCAAGGCTGTCTCTAAGATTTAGAGCTAAGTAGAAAACATGGAAAACATTGCTTCACCCCTGCCAGCTGCACCGTTCTTTGAAACACCCGACTCTAGGTGTGTCATCGCTGGTCCAGATGGACTAGTCCTATATTCTTATATTGGTAGGACTGCAGGATGGATGGTTACTGGAACACCTCGAAGCACATGAGCGATAGGCCATTTCCTTAGTCTGTCTCATTCTATTAAGATAGAGAGAGAGCCACTATTGTTTCAATAAATCAAATGTAAAGCTGTTATGTCAAGGAACGAACAAGCAAAGCCACATTAAGAGACTTCTCTTAATACAGACTTCTCTTGAAGCACTTATTCTGAAAAATAGTTGAGCGTCTTGATGGACGCTATTCAGTAGAGATTTTGCCATAATGTAATGGTAAATGTAAAATGTCCCCATAAAGAGGACATTTTACCTTAATTCCTGAACTCTGGAACAAATACTCTCACAATAATGTTTTCAATTCCGGCTTCCAAAATTGAGGAATGATTTTGTTAAATTGGAGGAGATTAGGGAAAAGTAATGAAACTGATGATAAAATTGGAAAAAATAGTGAGAAGGTTGAGAGGATAAAAGGAAGATTAGAGGGTGACTTGCTCAAATTTGACTTGAAGGACAGAACCTTCAGTCCAGCAAATGTATTGCAAGGTCCAGCGCTTTTAAGTGGCAAATAGCCAGCACTTTTTTTTTTTTTTTGACTGAAAGGGTAGACAATCAGTGGAACAAGTTGTTATAGGTTGCGGCTTCATCAAAATGTGAATTTTTCTTCTGGGGAATATGTTCTAGTCTGACTACAGAGTATTTCTCTACCTTCTATCTAGGTAGGTTATTATGATAATTCCATCTGGATTTGTAAGTGTATATCATAGATAGGACATAGCTTAACATAAATTTTAAATTGCCTTGAATCAGCATTACTGCCAAAAGGAGAAGGTCTGCCCAGCCTTCAGTGTCTGCTGCTTCATGCTTTTGTGCAGCTGCTCAGTGAAACAGGATAGGGAACTTACCCACATTAGGAGTACCCATCTTTTATTTCTGCGATGATCGTATCTCTGATCATAACGGTGTTTTGTGACAGCACAAAGAAGGGACCAGCATTGGGAGGGAACTAAGAGGCAAGAGATTTCTACCCCTGATGGCAGTGCTGGCCTATGGATATTTATGGTTATGGACTGGGTGACCAATATGAGGCTAGATACCATCTGATTTGAGGCTAGTCGCTGCACGTTGAGTTTCATGGCAATTTAAGCCAATGTAGATCTGCCACAGTCCCACCTTCCTAACTTGAGCCACATCGTTTTGGTGCCTCCCTCGAGCCAGCACTGCTGTTACTGTAATGGAGCAGCGAGCCAGCTCGGGCAGCTGATCCCATGCAAAACGTGTTGCTTCTGCTGTTGTCTACAGCAGCTCCTTGAACTCATGCGATCGCTTGGGTGCCAATGCCGATGCAACGGCCAAGGACTGTGCAGCCAAGATAGCTGGGGGCCACGGCAGCCCTGCCTCGTGTTGGCTCGAATGTGGGACTGCACCCACACAGTGTGTCAGTGGAAATATGCTGTTGCTTGTGATACACCGCGAGCAGATGGCAGCCTGTGTGACTGAGGATCTGACTGTACTGCTGATTGATGTGGCCATGCTAGCTGTAAACTAGCTCGTGTGGATAGCAATCGCATTGATGGGATGATGATGTGGGCTTGCAGCTTGAATGTGTCTCTGGGTCTCCAGAAGATTTGTACAGCCCGTGCTTGAAATCTTTACTGCCAGTTATTTGCCACTATTTTAATGTCTTTGCTACCTAGAAATCCCTCATTTTATTGGGATCCTCAATGAGTATGCCCTCTGGATCTTCTAGCACTTTATGAGTTTACCTCTTGATTGTTTTTAATTTCCCTAGTCAATCTTTTTAAGTAACTGCTGATTCTGTCCTTTTTTCTATTTAATCCTTTTTTTTTCATGTGTAATTGTTTAGAACCATTCTGAGTTTTGATCCTTGTTCATTTATTGATATTTCTCTGCTAAATTCTGTTTGTAGAGGACATTATGACTGGTTGTTTCTTGTGGCCTGTGTATAACTTCCTGCAGTCAGGAAACCAAATAGCACCAGTCAATCATCTTCCCCGTCAGATCTTGGCTTACAGTGTATACTGCAAATTGAAATTGAGAAGGATTAGTCTGCACATCTCACTTTAGATGAAGAGGAGTGGAAAGGATTTTCTTTCTCTATGCCCTTCCTGCTCTTTTGTCCCTTGTCTTCTGTATTTCTTGCTGCTGAGTTTGCATATGAACTAGAAAAATAGTGTAGCTGTAGAGTTATGTTGTAATACAGTTTTACCACCTGTGACAGACACTGTCTGATAGCCATGACTGTCATGAATTATAAAAATAATAGAATTAAGTTCAAGCATGTTATGTTTCTAAAAGTGGAAGGAGAAGTGCTGGAAACATCATTTAGGGTTCATCTCCTTGAGTTCATAGAGAGATAAGGGAGTAGGTAAACTATCTTGTTGAGAAGTAGAGATTTTGACTAGAGAACCTGGTGGGATCTTTTCTGTTGATAGTATTCATTACAACCTTTGAACAGTAACCTTTTTGGGGACTTCTTCAAGACACTGCTCATGACTTAAAGCAAGATTAGAAAACAATTACATTTCTTGGTCTTCAGTCAAGAAATAACTTCATTTGATAAACATCTCCCATGATAAGTATTTCCAAGGAAAACAGCCTTTACCTAGTACGTTCTTTATGTCTTTATGGCATATGGTCAGAACAAATGGAATTTTAAAATTGCCTTTTGGCTGTTATCCTCTATATTCTTTTGATTTATCACTAAACATTATCTTCTATTTGGTTAGTTATTGTGTTCTGCCATGCTTTTCATTTTGCAATGGAAAGTGAAAGGTCATAGGCAAATATTGGAAGTTTGGAGAAATAAAAAAATAAAGATATATCCTCCTGTTATTTTTTGTTGTGCATGAGAGAGTTACTTGAGGCAGGCAAAAGTGGTATCTTCTTTGCACTTAGAGATTTCTTGATTTATTTTCTGCTGTATTCAAAGCAGAAAGAGCTTACAAACTGACCCTATTTGATGACGCTATGCATTCACAAAATGCATTCAAATCTTAAATCCCAACTTAAAAGAAATTCCTAAATAAGCTCTTGCACATTTCTCATATGACTCCAGGGCACTGTCTGGAAAATAACACAGTATTTAGTGTGTAGAAAGTGTATGTTTTAATCGTCAGCTTCTCAGCGGATGCACAGTTGCAGTTCTGTACTCCAACCTTAGGCCCAAATTCCAGTTCAGTGGGTGGTTTTTTGGCCCAAAGTTCAGGCTGTGCATTTTGCATCAATGTATATAAATATGATCTGTCATGTAAATTTAAAATCATCTTTCATTTGAATAGACTTTTAGCAGAATGGATAAATGGGCAGTATACTTGGAAAAAGAATATCTTAATTTTCTCAGTCTAGCATCTTTGCTTTGATTGTTTTCTATGTGTAGTAATCCTTATCTTATCCTGCATATTAGATACATCAGTTTTTAAAAACATACTTACCACAAAACGTGCATGTATCTACCTGCCCATTTTTCTAAGTGATTGTAAAGATGTATCAAAATCTGATTAAAAGCCTGCCTCTGTAATAGAGACTGTTTTTTCTTCAATTGCCAATGAGTGTGTCTGGATTTATATTTGTAAGTTCCTTTCTAAATGATGTGGATGGAAACTAGATACTTATTATGTTATAACAAATTATGGAAAACAAGAACTAAAGCCATATTTCTTAAGAGAATCATAATACTGCAGGCAAATCAGAGCAGTTGAATAAATATTGAATTTAATGGGTTGCTCTCTTAGAAATATTCACAGTATGCAGTTTCTTTAGAATTAAATGATAATCTGAGCTTCATAGACACTGGAGTGAATAAATAAAGCAGTCACTGTAGGAGTTGCACTGAGCTGTGGGTACACACTAATGTTGCAAATTTTTTAATGGACAGCAGCGCCGTGCTGGGAGCAATTTCAGGATAGACAGTTACAAACAAAACACCCACTGAGGACCTGTTGTCTGAAAGCATTACTCTTTTTGTCAAACATCTTATCTGGAAGGCTCTAAAAGATATTGCAAACCTATTATAAACAGACTCTTCACTATCTGCTTTCACGCTGAAACTTAAAGTGTGTTATCAACTGAAGCAATGAAGGTATGCAGATTGCAAGAGGAAATTAGTCAGAATGGGATTT